CGACCGTTCCCAATCTCAAAGACATATGAGGACTTTATTCATTTTTGGTGAAAGTTTAGTCCTTTTCATTTAAAATTCTTCCACTTGCACTAAATGTTTGTTCGGATGAGACGGTTGAGACAGGACAACAAAAAACATCCAAGAAAGTCTTGATAATCTCGAAAAAATAAATTTTTGGTTTTCCAATATTCCAAAACATCAAAGTTGGCTCTTTGTTGTGGATATGTTGGTAACATTTTGGGAGTTCCCAAATATGTGTGAAACTCATTACTCTGTGAATACATGGTGGACAGTATATTCATTGTTGTCGTTGGTGCTTCTGAAAAGGAGGCTGTGCCTGTGCTTCGGGTTCAGTTCTCTTCGGCCTATTAATGCACTCCAGGTGTAGAAATCTTCATTTGTTTCTTCTGATGCAACTTTCCTGTGTATTTCGTGTCTTTGCGGGTTCCCATACGTGTTTCATATTGGAAATATACCTCTGCAAGACAATTTTTACCTCTCCTATTTGATGACAAATGCTACGTTTTGTAAATTTTCAGTTAATGTCTCTAAACCATTTTCTAAACCTTCTTGTTAATTCTAGGATCAATATGACACTAAACAGTAAAGAAAAGGAATGAGTTTAAATATTTAAAAAAAATTCCATTGCCTTTATTGGTTTTTTTAAAATTTCATTTTTTTTTTTTTTGTTTTGTAAATAACTCTGAAATTTTTTAATTGTATGTATTATCAAAGGACTAGTAGGATAATACACACCAAAAAGTGTAAAGTGGATTGGTAAAAAAATTTAAGAAAAGAATGAAATACTTTAGCATTTGCCAATCATTTTCTATAAATAATGAGGACCTCTATTATTTGCATAAAATAACTAATTAAATTAGCATAAGGTAAACATGAATCAAGTATTAAATAAGTACTATTCCATCTAACAAGCATGTCTAATGCAAAAGTTCTAGGAGACATATTTGATTTTATACAAGCATCTTGAAATTCAGCATTCTTTTATTACTACTAGTAATCCAAGCTAAACAATCTCTAATTCTATCAATATTTTCTTTAATTGTTTTCATACCACTTTTACAATTAAATTAATAATGTGACATGAGCAACGTTGGTGAAAAAACTTCAAATTGTTATAAAAGGATAATTACTTTGAAAAAAATCTATAGCAGTAGTATATTAGCTTTGCATTATCTAAAGTAAACATACACTTTAGTAACAATATCATAATCTTCTAAAACTTCAACAATTTTATTATAAATTTGTTGACCACTAGATCCACACCATTAATCTAAACCTAATAAAGATTTATTTAATTTTTTCGTTATCAAAATAATGACTAGTCACACAAGTATAATTTTTAGCTCTACCATTCCAAATATCGGCAGTTAGAGCCAACTAACATGACAAGTATGTATTTTATTTTTTAATTCTAATTTCATTTTCTTAAACAATTTTATAAATCAATTTAGTTGCAGTTTTAGAATAATTTTTAAATCCTAGAAAAAATGAATTTTTAATAACTCTTTCAAAATATTTATCTTCAGCCATATTAATAGGTTAATCAGTTGCAGCAATGTATAAAGCTAATTGTTCCTATATATATCGAAATTATAACGCCAAGTAGTACCATATTAGTTATTTGAGTTTGATTGGTTTCTCTATTTCCATGTTGAGCAATATGTTTATTAGTATGCCTTTTTAAAGTACTAGTACTCATTACCTGAATCAGCTTATAAACATTTCCACAATACTTGCATCTTGCTTTCTTCACTTAAACTCCATTTTCTACCTCGTAAAACTTATCGAAATGCGTCCAAACATCTGATGTGTGTCTGTCGTCGCTTTCGACAGCAGTTGATGAACCTGCTTCAGCTTGAGATGAAGTTGGACGAGGACGACTTCGAACCACCGGGAGCTGTAGGTGTAGTAGCATGGGGAGGAATCGAGGGCATATTTTGAGGGGTATCGGATTCTGAGACGGGAAAGCGGACTATTTGAATCTCCTCCTGCATTCATGTTAGTAAATCAGTGGGACTAGGACTAGGATAGTAGTTTCCTTCCTCAATGAAACTGATAGAAGAGAAATATCTATCCATTGTAGTTGAAAAAAAAATTGATGTAGAAGAAATAAAATTAAAGAAGGAGAACGGAATATGGAAAATTGGAAATATGAATTGAAATTGCAAAAACTAATAAAAATTAAAATAAGAGCAAATTGATTAAGAGAATGATCGAGAGATTTCAATAAAGATTAGGATTAGAGAGAATGCGAGAATTTGAGTTGTGAGAAAATATGAGAGTTTAGGGCTACTTTATAGAAAAAATTGGGAAATAAAATGACGAAAAAGACCCGTCTAACTGCTATAAGACAGCTATATTTCAAGAAATAAAGGGGAATTAAAAAAAAAATTAATTTTAGTTTTATTTTTATTTTTTTTGGGCCAACCCGAAGGGTTGGTTGTTGCAACCCGCGAGTCAACCAACAATAGCCAACCCGTCGAGCGGGTCAGTCCAACAAGTTGGCGGTCCTTTCTTAGAAAGGACAAAATTGCAACCTACGGGTCGTGGGTTGCCATATGGCAACCGGCCCCGAGGGTTGCATACGGGTCGAGTTTAACTCGACTCGTCATTTTGGCGGTTTAGGTTGAACCCTCTTAATGGGGGCGGGTTAGGTGACCAGCCTAACCCGACTCATTTTTCCACCTCTAGATTGAACATAATAATTCTAGTGACCATAATCCAATTGTACTAGGTCACAAAAATTTGAAATATTTTGATGCATCATATAATTAACAAGGAACTAGATTTTATAATCATCATCAATATTAATTAATTAATGGTTTTATTATTTGAGTATCGATGCTGTCTTGATATCAAAAAAACAAAAAAAATAAAAAAAATCTCCGGAAATGATCAACTTGACTCTGGACCACACGCATTCTATTATTGTTTATACGTATATAATGCATGGTTAGATGATAGATACATGTATAATGTAAAATGTTACCATGCTTCCTGTCACTTGCTGCATGCTATAAACATTATCTTAAAAGAGTATTATTGCCGACCAAAAGAGATACAGAAGCAAAATTATATTATAAACTATTTACAAAACCCTAACTGGCACATGGCTTGCTTCGTATAGAATCTGAATTATCTCTTACTCAATGCTTGTTCATTGATTCTGTAAATTATTATTATTATTCTTTGATCTCTGATGTGTTTTTTGTTGATTGATCCCCACGAGCTTTAATCAGACACATGAGATTTCAATTAATATTCTTATCACTCAAAACAATGGCAGAGTTGCGGAGGCCCCTAACTAAAAATCCTGGATCCACCATTGAAATATGTATATAGATCTTACATTGCTGGACACTAATCACCTTCTCAGAAGATCCAGACGAACAGCATATAGCAAAGCCATGTGCCTTTTGATTCAATGTCACGAAATATTTCAGTCATTTCACTTTGCATCTTCATTTATTTTCTGTTTATTGAAATAAGAGAAATAATTTATACATTAATGGTTAGTTAAATTTATGATTTCGATTTTCATTATACAAAATTATCTTTGAAATTTATGATAAATCAATCCCTTTAGTTTCGAACTTATTTTAAATTTTTCTTTAATATATCGAAATCTAGCTGTGATTAATATAAAATTTAAGAAAATATATTTAGTTAAATTAAATTAGAATTTTATTGTTCTACGATAAAAATATAGAAGCCATGGAAATGGCAAAAATAGACTTAAACCAAACAAGAAGCATGCAAAGTCAGACTGCCCACGCATGATGGTCCATGTGGGTTTGAAGGACTGTCTTCAACCTTCACCAGAAAACATCAAATCTGAGATTAAATCATCAATAATTCCTTCCAATTCTGAATCTATAATTTGCAACTTACGTTTCCTTCTTATAAATTGCTGAATAATCCTAATTTAATTTACCAAAAAATTCCTTCCCGCTAATCATGGCAATAAACACTGAATAATACAACAAAAATTAATAATAATTTATACCAGTGTTTTAATAATCAACCGGATGAAAACACTTCATAGGTTGATCGGTTCAACTGGTTTGACCAACGGGTCAAATCGGTATCAAATGTTTGAAATCTATAAAAAACACCAAAACACTAACATCGACGTCGGCAAATAAGACTTTTTTCGGCGATGACAATACTTCTCTTAACTTCCTAATCAAAACCTATCTCACAACTCCCCCATTCGCTGCATCGGGCAATAGTCCGATATTGCCGGCGATTTAGTTTTGTGATTTTCAGTCGATTCACTCATTGGAAATCACCACCATCGCCACCATTCCATCATTGGAAATCACCACCATTGCCACCATTCACTCATCGACCCTTTTTCTCTCAAAACTCTGAACATCCGAGCTTCAATTGTTCATCGGTCAACATCCTAATTTCTAGGGTTTTTAATAAATAGTAAAATTTGTAACTGACCCGATGAAGGCCTCGGGTCCTGATTGAACCGACGAGCTAGGTTGGGTTTCAAAACACTGTATTAAATAAGAAAACCTAGGCACATAAAAATTTTTTTTTTAGAGTAAAAAATACATGTTTTATGTTTGATTTATAACTTTAATTTCCTTGTAATTAATTCTCTTTTTATGAAGATAAAAGACACAAAGTAAAATTTGACTAAAATGACGACTTTTAAATATAAATTACGAATGGAATCATCGTTTATTTATTTATGTAAAAGAAAAAAGAAATTATAGTAAAAGAATATAAGTAGAATGAGGATGTTTTGTGTCAGATATGTATGGATTGAACATGGTCGATGGAGCTGGCATTAGATTTTGAATTAGTTTTCTAATTATAAAAATTCTGCATGAGAAAGTGAGAAAGCCACCACGATACTTCTAGTGGCATTCACGTAGTTTTCTCCAAAACCAGTGGCTTTTTCTTCACTAAAAAACATAAAAGCCAGAGTTTGCCTCTTGTTATCTCCACACACAGAACTTTCATTTCCTTTCTCATTCCTTCCCGTTCTTTCTTCCTCTTCTTCTATCTCAGAAGCCACAATGTACAGGATCACCGTGCTGCTGGTGTTACTTTCTGCTACGTGTCACGTTGCCTTGTCAGCCACCACCGATAGTAAGTTCTCAAAATTTCACGTCCTCCCGCATTCAGTAACAATATTGAATATTTTGGTAGATGATAGTTCATAAGTTTTCAGTATTCAGTATTCAGTTCGGTTCTTGTTAAGTTATTCCTTTCATAGCGTTAAATTTCAGTATAAACTGCTATATTGATAGTCAAATCATGTGTTCTTTCTGTCAATTATAAATCTGATAGTTAAAACTTAAAATTAGCTGCTGGTTTGATATTGTTATCCATCAAACAGACTTGAAACTTTTCACCCAAAAATAAAAAATGACTAAGAGAGTATTCATGAGCTGAGAAGCCAGTTAAAACTTAAAACACATATCCATGTACAAAAAATGGTGTTTTTTTGCTAAAGTTTTGTCTTCTGGAGGTCTTAAATGTTAAAATCTCTGGATTTATAGCTCCTGGTAAGAACAATAAATTCACTTCTCCTCTGAGACCATGAAAAAGTCCTTTACTCCTTTGAAAATGTCGAGTCATGTCAGTTCTCTCTTCTTTTTATGCCTGCATGCAGGTCTTTAATCCCGTCCGTTCTCTATTGTAGTAATATATTGCCATATATTAAATATTATATCTAAACGTAAATACAAAACAATAGGATAAACAATACCGCCGTTTTCAATCGGCGAAATATCATAAATGTAGAAATTGTGTAGTTTGTTGTTTGGAACAATCAGATGTTGATTTAATTATTATTTCTAGTGTAAATTTAATTGTGATGATCAAAAGATTGTCTTGGCAGTTCCAGACTTCCAGCCTTTAGAATAGATCACAAAAATATATGGTAGAATTAATTATTGCTAACTGGCTTGATAGTAAAAGAGTAAAAAATGTTTCATGAATTTCTAATTATTAAGGCTCTTATCTAGTTAACACTTTCAAGGCCAAAAAAATTAGTTGAAATATCTTGGAAACCTCCATGATAAAAAAAAATATATATATATATATATATATAAACAAATTTTAGCCATGAATGGACCTATACTGTATATCATAAGTCGATATATAAAGGCTCAAGAGATTGAGACTAGAAGATCGAAAGATCATAATCATAGAGATTTGCAGTTTTGGCCACGTGAAAACCAGATCTGGTTTTGCACAGGTTTTTAGCTGCATCTGGTTAATTAAATTTGCATGGGGGGTTGGTCACTGATGCATTAACTTCACATTCCAATTAAATAAATATATATATATATATAATTGATTTAATTATTATTTCTTAGATATATTTAAATAGTTGATCCTTCTTATCCTCATTCCAATTGTCTAATAGCTACTGCTCATAGGATAAATTTATTGTTTCTTCTTCTGCAAAATATCATGCAGTAAATGTCAATTATATTCATGTGCCTGGTTGTTGGACGGCAATTAATATCACAATATTTAAATATTTCACAAACTTTAAGAGAATCGCAGCCTTACCATGTGGTCTTTGTTGCTGTTGATGATGATCAGAGCTAACATGGACCGCTTGATTTAAATGAAATGTTTTATATAGAAAGTAACATGTCAGTTTCGTCATTCACTAAATTTGGAAAATGATATTATGTAAGCCATGTTTGCCTGTCAGAATAAATCTTAAAGAAAAGTATTTATCTTCCATTTATTTTCTGAAATAATCAATCAGCAAACATGTGATGACACCATGGCAAAGACAGATTAGATTTGCTTTAAAATAATCCATCATGCACATGCCATATACTTTTTCTTTTTATTTTTTTTAGACCGAGAATGTTTAGACTATTTTAGACATACTTTAATTAATTCTCAGGTTTTGAAATGAAGAGTCAGGTAAATTTCATCCGATTAATAGTTCTAAGGTTCTTGAAAATTAGTTGAGGTATACATAAACTAGTCCGAACACTTCCGTGAAAAAAAAAAAAAATTCTCATTATTAGGGGTATTCTTAATTCTGCATGACTTAGACTAATGGACGTAAACTCTCATGGGTAGACATAATTAAATCTACTGTGAAATTAATTACTACACATCAAAAGCATGATCAAGCTATACTTGAAGCTTATGTCTTGATAACAATATTTAATTTCTTGCTTATTAAACTGATTTTGGGATTTCAGGTTTACTGCCTAATGGCAACTTCGAGTATGGACCAAAGGCATCGCAAATGAAAGGCACTGTCGTGAAGGACCCAAATGCCATTCCCAACTGGAAGATTTCCGGGTTTGTTGAGTACATAAAATCAGGCCAAAAACAAGGCGACATGTTGCTGGTTGTCCCCGAAGGAACCTTTGCTGTCAGGCTCGGCAATGAGGCTTCAATCAAACAGAAGGTTAAGGTCACCAAGGACATGTTTTACTCCTTAACTTTCAGTGCAGCTCGCACTTGTGCACAAGAAGAGAAACTGAACGTCTCCGTTTCCCCAAATTCGGAACCCAATGACTGGGGAATTCTGCCAATGCAGACCGTGTATAGCAGCAATGGTTGGGATTCTTATTCATGGGGTTTCTTGGCTGAAGCTTCCGAAATTGAGATTTCTATTCATAACCCTGGTGTTGAAGAGGACCCTGCTTGCGGCCCACTCATTGATTCTGTCGCTTTGAAGGTTTTGACTACTCCCAAGCGTACCAGAGGTAAAAAGAAAATAATTCCACATAAAATTGAACATTTATTTATATGCGAAATTCTTGATGATTAGATGGTTTGATTGTTTGTTAATCATATGTAGAAAACATGTTGAAGAATGGAAATTTCGAAGAGGGTCCATATGTCATTCCCAAAGCATCTTGGGGAGTTCTTATTCCATCCCACATTGAAGACGATCACAGCCCTCTTCCAGGATGGATAATTGAGTCTCTTAAAGCCGTGAAATACATTGATTCTGATCATTTCTCAGTTCCTGAAGGCAAACGGGCCGTCGAACTCGTGGCCGGAAAGGAGAGTGCTATTGCACAAGTTGTTAGGACAACCGTAGGCAAGTACTACGCCCTCTCATTCTCCGTTGGTGACGCCGGCAACTCGTGTGCCGGGACAATGGGAGTTGAGGCATATGCAGGCTTGGATAACATTAAGGTCCCTTATGAATCTACCGGCAAAGGAGGGTCCAAGAAAGCCGTGGTCAAGTTTAAGGCTGTTTCAACAAGAACAAGAATTATGTTCCTGAGCACATATTACAACATGAAGAGTGACAATTCAGGATCGTTGTGTGGGCCGGTGATTGATGATGTTAAATTGCTTGGCGTTCGCACTAGAAGACGTGTGTGATTTGATGAGTTTCATGGCAATGTCGCTTGTTGAAAGTAAAAGTTTACTTGCTTGGCTTGGTACTTAGAGCTTGTTCATGCGATGTTTTTACTTTGTAGGATTATTAATGTAACAGAAGCATAAGAGTTGATGAGTTTACAATGTTTTTATGTATGTATCTATCCTTTTTAAAGTCATGTTTGCGGAATTATGGGGAAGGAATCAGGATTTTAATGGGAGAAAAGTCGTCAACATCGAGGGACTTGTTTCATATTGAAGGATGAGTAATGCAATACAATAAAGAAAAACGGAATTAAAATAAATGAATTATAAAAAAACAGTAATGCTAGATTCATAAATCAATCTCACAACTTTCTTTCATAACCTCCGTTGNTAAACTCTCATGGGTAGACATAATTAAATCTACTGTGAAATTAATTACTATACATCAAAAGCATGATCAAGCTATACTTGAAGCTTATGTCTTGATAACAATATTTAATTTCTTGCTTATTAAACTGATTTTTGGGATTTCAGGTTTACTGCCTAATGGCAACTTCGAGTATGGACCAAAGGCATCGCAAATGAAAGGCACTGTCGTGAAGGACCCAAATGCCATTCCCAACTGGAAGATTTCCGGGTTTGTTGAGTACATAAAATCAGGCCAAAAACAAGGCGACATGTTGCTGGTTGTCCCCGAAGGAACCTTTGCTGTCAGGCTCGGCAATGAGGCTTCAATCAAACAGAAGGTTAAGGTCACCAAGGACATGTTTTACTCCTTAACTTTCAGTGCAGCTCGCACTTGTGCACAAGAAGAGAAACTGAACGTCTCCGTTTCCCCAAATTCGGAACCCAATGACTGGGGAATTCTGCCAATGCAGACCGTGTATAGCAGCAATGGTTGGGATTCTTATTCATGGGGTTTCTTGGCTGAAGCTTCCGAAATTGAGATTTCTATTCATAACCCTGGTGTTGAAGAGGACCCTGCTTGCGGCCCACTCATTGATTCTGTCGCTTTGAAGGTTTTGACTACTCCCAAGCGTACCAGAGGTAAAAAGAAAATAATTCCACATAAAATTGAACATTTATTTATATGCGAAATTCTTGATGATTAGATGGTTTGATTGTTTGTTAATCATATGTAGAAAACATGTTGAAGAATGGAAATTTCGAAGAGGGTCCATATGTCATTCCCAAAGCATCTTGGGGAGTTCTTATTCCATCCCACATTGAAGACGATCACAGCCCTCTTCCAGGATGGATAATTGAGTCTCTTAAAGCCGTGAAATACATTGATTCTGATCATTTCTCAGTTCCTGAAGGCAAACGGGCCGTCGAACTCGTGGCCGGAAAGGAGAGTGCTATTGCACAAGTTGTTAGGACAACCGTAGGCAAGTACTACGCCCTCTCATTCTCCGTTGGTGACGCCGGCAACTCGTGTGCCGGGACAATGGGAGTTGAGGCATATGCAGGCTTGGATAACATTAAGGTCCCTTATGAATCTACCGGCAAAGGAGGGTCCAAGAAAGCCGTGGTCAAGTTTAAGGCTGTTTCAACAAGAACAAGAATTATGTTCCTGAGCACATATTACAACATGAAGAGTGACAATTCAGGATCGTTGTGTGGGCCGGTGATTGATGATGTTAAATTGCTTGGCGTTCGCACTAGAAGACGTGTGTGATTTGATGAGTTTCATGGCAATGTCGCTTGTTGAAAGTAAAAGTTTACTTGCTTGGCTTGGTACTTAGAGCTTGTTCATGCGATGTTTTTACTTTGTAGGATTATTAATGTAACAGAAGCATAAGAGTTGATGAGTTTACAATGTTTTTATGTATGTATCTATCCTTTTTAAAGTCATGTTTGCGGAATTATGGGGAAGGAATCAGGATTTTAATGGGAGAAAAGTCGTCAACATCGAGGGACTTGTTTCATATTGAAGGATGAGTAATGCAATACAATAAAGAAAAACGGAATTAAAATAAATGAATTATAAAAAAACAGTAATGCTAGATTCATAAATCAATCTCACAACTTTCTTTCATAACCTCCGATGTGTCAACTCGCAAATGGGTCTCGCCTACCCATTTGCAAGTTACTACGTCGGAGGTTATGAGATTGGGTTGTGGACCTAGCATTACTCTATAAAAAAATGTAAGATTCCCCAAATTATACATTTGGAGGATCATCATCCCCAAATGAGTATTATGTTCGAGTTCCTCCATCCACTGAAGAAATGGAAGGGTTCGATCTATTTTCAACCATTTCTAGACGTAGCAATTTCACAACCAAAAACGACTGAGATTGCGTCTAGCCAAACACAAGCAAGCTACGACATCACGGGAAGACCGTCAAAGAGGGTCGTGTCCAAGGTATGACAATTCTTCACCAAATCAAAACGGGCAAAGACAAATGGGCAGGGGGAAGAGACATGCAGGGTATGTAATTTTTGTTCAACTATTATCGGCGCTAAGCATGGGACTTCAATGATACGGTGGCACCCGGAGAAGAAGCACCCCCAATATATGCAATTCGGTTCAACTTCAATCGGACTTGGTAAGCAATTACAAATTAAACTTAATTTTAATCTACAATCCTCAACTCTCTCACCTGGCAATACAATGCACTCCATGCACGAGAGGAAATAGCAAAATACATAGTTGCTACGGACTCTCCCCTTTCTTTATTTGAAAATCTTTTTTTTGTTGATATGATTAAAACTGTTTTTTCTCGCAATATAACCCTGTTAGTAGAGGCACAAGTAGAAGAGACATACAAAACTTTTTTACTCAAGTAAGATATCAATTAAAAAAAATAATTTGAAAATTTTAGGAATATATCTATTGCATTTACTTTAGGTATATGGGCTGTTAGATTAAAAACAGATTTTTTTTAGTGTCACAATACATATTGCCTAAATCATAGTTAGCGTTTACAACAAAAATTGATAGGTTTTAAACCATTATATGCTAAATATAGTGCTGAAACTATTTATTTTACAATTATTAAAGTTTTGCAAGATTATTTATTAACTAAGAGAGTTGTGGTGCTAACGCTTGATAATGCAGCTACTAACACTGCGACAATTTCTTTATTTAAAAGGAGATTGGATCCGTTTGGTGAGGACAATTTTTTCCACCAGAGATGTGCTTGCCATAAAATCAATTTGATTGTTATAGCTGGTTTAGAAGCTATACATACGAGGATTGAAAGAGTGCGCGTGGCTATCAGATTCATCTTGGTAGCAATACAAGATGGAATGAGCACGTAAAATATTGTCACCAAAAGGAGCCACTGGTTCGACCAAAGAAGTTATGTTGTGACATGCTTGTCCGTTGGAATTCCACGCACTTGATGTTGTAAAGAGCTATGCCAATTGCAACACAAATACAGAGTTAAGTCAACGATGATGATTAGACGGTTTGCAGTATTTTTCATTCATTTCTTAAAGTTTTTTATGATTCCACTAATACATTAAGTGGTATTTATTATCTTACTACTAATTTAGCGTCATATATTTTACTTCAAATTTTTAAAACTTTTGTTAAATATAGATATAATCCAAACTTAATGGATATTGTTTCAGACATGTAAACAAAATATCGAAAATATTGGTTAGATATTTCATTCTTTTATGGATTAGGTCTTATTATATAGATCCTAGGTTTAAATTAAATGTATTTAATTGTATGGTTACTGAGATAGGTCAGCATTAAGGACATGACTACAGTTTTTATTTGATAGAATTTAACAAAAAATTGGAAAAGGTACAGCGAAACGCCCAGTAGGAACCTGATAAAGACATTTATCGATAGGGATCAAGCATATAGACGTATACGGACCTTAGTAGCAGTGGTGGCGAGTTGCAGCAATACCTACAAATGGACATGTCCTACATGACCAAGAAGGAGAAATGCGAGATGGATCTACTTCAATGATAGAACTAAAATGCAAGTTGATTCCCCATTATAGCCCAAATGGCACGTGACATTTTATTTGTCCAAGTTTCGATAATTACATTTGAGTCAACATTCTCAATTAGAAGTGGGCAAGGACCAGGCCCAATCTGGGACCAGGCCCATTTTGGCTGGGACCAGTCTTGGGCCAATGAAATTTTTCAAGGCCCAAACCGGTCCTAGGACCAGTCATGGCCCCATAAGACCAATCCTATGGGCCTAGAAAATTTCAATATGCCCCCCTAATTTTTTATATATTTGCTAAATAAAAATTATGTAAGGAGGTTTATGTAATTTTTTAGGGGTGATTTATAAAATTTTTAATTAATGAGGACATAAATAGAGATGATAGGTTTTAATTTAGGGAGATAATTAAATTTTCACTAAGCAATGTGAAAATTTAATTTGAATTTAAACAATTAAATAAATATAAATGGATGAATAATTGCATATAAATTAAATTTATATGGACTATAGTTTAATTTAAAGAGATAATTTACTTTTAACATAAATATAATGTTCACACTTCACAATTTGCAAATTTAATTTAAACTTAAACAAATAAACAATTAAATAAATTTTTTTTTATTAAATTATTGATTTACATCTGCAAAAGGTACCTCGTCCAGATCTATGTTTCTGAAGAGGTCGAGTAATTCGGGATCTTCAGGGTGGTACTATACTCTTATATATGCATGAGTCCAATCCCGTAAACATGTTATGACTTCAACCATCTCATTGGTTAAAGAGCATTTTCTATCTTCAATAATACAAACACTAATTAAAAATGATGACTAGGATACAATTGTGAAAATTGGCATAGATAAAATGTCACGTGCCATTTTGGCTACAATAGGGAATCAACTTGCATTTTGGTTCCACCATTGAAGTATATCCATCTCGCGTTTCTCCCTTTTGGTCATGTAGGACATGTCCATTTGTAGGTATGGTGCATCTCATTTGGTCCATGTCTATACACGTTGTTACTTCCACCACCATCGTTGCTAAGTTCCTTGAATGTCCACATGCTCAATCCTTGTTAACAAATGTCTTCATCAGTTCCTGCTAGTCGTCTCTACTGGACATTCCAATGTACTTAGTCTGATATAAAGAAAAAAAAAAAGCTTTTCAATTTTCTATTAAATTCTATCAAATATGAACTATAGTCATGTCCTAAATGCTCATCTATCTCATTAACCATACAATTAAATACGTTTAATTTAAATCTAGGATCTACAATAAGACCTAATCCATATAATAATGGAATTTATAACCAATATTTACGGTATTTTGCTTCCAT